GCTTCTGATAGTGGGTTTGAAATCACTGTACGGGATTAGCAGTGGAGTTAGGGGCTTTTCAAGAGCTGCTTTTGCTGCAGCATCGGCCTTAGTGTTACCTGCTATGCCAACGTGACCCGGCAACCAGCAGAGGACGATGTCTTATTGGCCAGTAGAAAGGTCGTTGTACAGTTCTAATATGTCCAGGATGATTGGGTGACTTGAAGTCACGTTTAGAAGTGCTTGAAGGCAGGATAATGAATCTGTAAAAACGATGAAGTTTTTGGAATGATTTTGCTGTTGAATGTAGGTCAAAGCTGAGAAGATAGCTTTGGCTTCAGCGGTGAAAATGGAACTGTTGTCGGGGATCCTAGAGGAGACGGTCTTGGCTCCAATGACTGTAACGCTGGCAACTTGGCCATCGTCCTTGGATCCGTCTGTGAAAATGGATCTGTGAGTGTTATACTTCGAACGTAACTGGTTGTATTCCTGTTGGAACACCAAGGGATTTGTTTCAGACTTTTTGAGTTTGGTGAGGGTAAGATCGATCGGTGGTTTCACCATTTGCCATGGTGGTGAGGACAGAAGTCGGTATGGTGCAATGATGTTGAGATCAATTTTAGCTGCAGATATGTGTGGTTTGATCCTGATTCCAAGTGGTGGAACCAGGCTTGGCAGTTTAGGAAATAAGCTTTGATAGAGCGGGTTGAAAACACAATTGTATGCTGGATTGGACTCATTTGAACGTAATTTAGTGATATACTGCAGTGAGAGTTTAATGCGGCGTTGTTCAAGGGAAGGTTCATTGGCCTCCGCATATAGACTGTCTACCGGAGAGGTCCTAAAGGGACCCATCAACGCAACTGTTCAGAACGTTAGCGAGGCTGTTAATTTTGATGCTAAAACGTGTGACAGACAGGATGCTGCCTTGGGGGACGCCCTGATCTTGGTGGAAATAGTCAGACAGTGTGGAACCCACCCGAACTTGAAATTGTCTGTTATTTAAAAACTGAGATATGAATTGAGGTAGTCTACCCCTCAATCCAAACTCGTGTAAATCTTTTAGGATACCATGTTTCCACGTTGTATCATATGCTTTTTCTTAGTCGAAAAAGATAGATACTGTATGTTGTTTGTTGACAATGGAGTTTTTGATGAATGATTCCAGACGCACCAGATGGTCAATGGTACTTCGGATTTTTCAGAAACCACATTGGAGGTCACTGAGGAGGTTATTGGTGTTCAAGTACCAGATTAATCGATTGTTGACCATGCGCTCCATGGTTTTGCAAACGCAGCTAGTTAGTGATATAGGACGGTAGTTTGAGGGATCAGTATGATCGCGACCGGGTTTTGGTATAGGGATGATAATGGCATTGTGCCACGAAGGGGGAAAGTGTCCGGATGTCCAGATGTCATCAAATATATTTAGGAGTGTTTCCAGGCCTATGTCAGGGAGGTGTTTCAGAAGCTGATAATGGATTTCATCAGCTCCTGCCGCAGTGTCGTGAGCCTGTGCTAGGGCAGTACGTAATTCATGGAGGGAAAACGTTTCGTTGTAATCCTCCCCATTATCAGAGTTAAAATTGACTGGTTTCTTTTCTTGTTGGGTTTGGCATATCTGGAACTGAGGGTTATAATTTGATGAGGAGGAGTGGTTTGCCAAAGTTTCGCCAAGTTTGTTTGCAATTTCAGATTTATTTGTTAGGAGGGAGTCACCATCTTTCAGGTGCCCCTTTGCCCTTAATCTTTTGAATCATGTTCCACACCTTGGACATGGGTGTGCGGGAGTTGATTTTTGACACATATTTCCTCCATGACCGGCGTTTAGTTTGTTTGAAGGTACGTTGTGCCCTGGCTTTTGTCATTTTAACAGCATTCAGGTTATGCACTGTAGGATGTTGTCGGAAATATTTTTCCGCCTTCTTCCTATTTTTCCTAGCTTGTTTGCAGTTTGTATCAAACCATGGTTTGCGTATGTGAGGGTTTACAGAGGACTTTGGAATAGTTTTGTCTCCGATGGCATTTAGGACGTCTGAAAATAGTTCCATGGGGTCAGGAACATTCCTGAAGTTGTCCGGCTTAAGTTTTTCTGAACATAGGGTTTTGAATAAAGGCCAATTGGCCTGAGTAAAATTCCATCTTGTTGATGGTGGTTCATCCGTGGGGTTGATAGGAGTAAGAATTGTTGGGAAGTGGTCGCTTCCACAAAGGTCGTCATGGACCGACCATTCGAACTCATTTAAAAGATTAGAATCTGTAAGTGATAGATCGAGAGCAGAGTGTGATCCAGTGGCAGGATGGAGGTAGGTGTTTGATCCATCGTTGAAGATGCATACATCATTATTTGAGAGAAACTCTTCAAGGACCTTTCCCTTACTATTTGTATCAGTACTCCCCCATAGGGGGTTATGGCCGTTGAAGTCGCCCATGATTATGCAGGGCTTCGGGAGTTGATCATATAAGTTCTGAAGATCTGATAGGCGAACAGTTGAGGTGGGAGGGAGATAGAGGGAACATAGTATAAACCCTATGTTCAGAGTCATGCGGACAGCAACAGTTTGTAGGTTGGTTTTAAGTGGAACGGGGCTATGAAGGATGCCCTGCCTCACCAGGATAGAAGTGCCTCCTGTAGCTTTTACGCCGGGAGGAGAAAAGGAGTTGTAGGAACTGTACCGACGGATGTCAAATTTATCGGTCCTTTTTAGGTAGGTTTCTTGGAGACAAAACGCGGATGATTTGAAGTCTTGAATCAATAACTATAATTCATTATAATTATTCTTAAGTCCTCTGCAATTCCATTGGATCATGTTTTGTGGATTCATGGTGCTTCCACTGGTGACATGTCACGTGAACGTGAGAAAGCGTTTGATGAACTCCTATTGGTGTCAGTAGGAGTTGTAGTTACCTCCATATCCAGAGGGCCAAAGGAGTTATGGACCTTGATGGGGACCTCTGAAGGAGAGGTGGCCTTTGGTTTTGTGTTTGGCAATTGTTCAAGTTGTTTTAGTCTCTCTAGCCTCTTTTTTTCCCTTTTTCTGCGCGCAGTTTCTGTTTCTGGTTTTGGCATTTGTTCTGGTGTTTGTGATTCAGAGGTTTTGACTTTTGGCGTTGGAGATGGAGTGGCTGAGATAGGCTGAGTTGTGTTGAGTTCAGTTGGTTGAGAAGACATGATCCATGTCAGGTCGGTCTGACATGAGATGGTTGCAGTAGTGATAGTAGGACGGGAGACAGCAGAAGAGTAGGTGATGGTTGAAGGGGCTGCAGTTAAACCTGCAACCCTCTTCTTTGCTTCGTGAAAGGAGATATTTTCTTTGTGCTTGATCTTTAGTATCTCGGATTCGCGTTGCCACACTGGACATAACTTGGAAGAGGCCATATGGTTACCACCGCAGTTTGTGCACTTCACTTTCTTGGTACAGTCGTTGCCCTCATGCTTGTCACCACAGCGGTAACAAACAGCAGAGGAACGACAGGACTTGGATCCATGTCCAAACTTTTGGCAGTTGTAGCACCGGAGTGGATTGGGGACATACACCCCCACACCAATGCTACAATAACCAGCTCTAATGGAGTCAGGAATGTTTGCTCGCGCGAACGTGAAGAGATAGATGTTCGTTGGTTGAACAACACCGTCCTTTTTGAAGGTGAATCGTTTTATGGCTGTGACGGATTGCTGAGAGAGTTCCTTGACAATTTGTTCTTCAGTCATGTCAGACAGGCATCGAGCTCTGTCCCGTACAATGCCTCTACACGAGTTAAGTGTTTTGTGTGCTGAGACAGCGACCTTGATATTGACAAATTCTTGTATTTTGAGGAGATTTAATGATTGTTGTTTCCGGGTGCATTCTATCAGGAGAGAGCCAGATCGAAGCTTTGTAACATTGGCAACCTCTCCGCAGATACCAGCGATACATTTGGAGATTGCAAAAGGATTCAATTGCAAAGGTTGCTTGTCACAAGCCTCAATGATCAGGAAGCGTGGCCGGTAGTCAGATCGGAGGGGCGTACTCTCGTCAGACGAGGATGGATGGATGGATGGATGGTTGGATGGATGGATGGATGGATGGATGGATGGATGGATGGATGGATGATGGATGATGGATGGATGATGGATGATGGATGGATGGATGGATGGATGGATGGATGGATGGATGGATGGATGGATGGATGGATGGATGGACTGAATCCCGGATGGGAAAGTACTAGAATCTGTGACTCTACTGAGAAAATCTTATCCCAAATGTAACATGTGTTAGATTTTACCACTGTCTATATGGCATTGTGGTTCAGTTCAGTGTTTCATGCACTGCCCCCGTTGTTGACGCTGTTGAAAAATGTGAAGTAACATAGATACATTTACATACCCACTTCAGTCCTCGCCCCGTACGCACACAAACACACACGTACACACGCACGCAAACACACAGACACACATATATACATACATAAATTCTCGAAGTTCTCTATATTTAATGTTGGCTGTTTTCGCTGGTCGTTGTGTCTGTGACAAGTGTGTTACATGTGACAGCCAGACTTTGACGGAGCTGAAACTCAGTCTTGATAGCAATCACATGTCCCCTAATTGATACCGCTTCTACACTTGACACTGCCACTGGATACATGCCACAATGTCATGTGATATAGGCAAGCTTTACATTGATTATATTTTTATCTTTGTCCGGATTCGTGACTGTATGTATTCGTAACATGTATATATATACACGAGTAAGTGCAACGATCACTCATTTGAATCTCACTTTACCTATAGGGTCACTGCGGGCTGAGGGGGACAAACTAAGGCAATCTTAAGGCGTGAAGAATTGTCAGGGACGGGCAACACGTTTATCCTTTACAGAAAATTTTACACTTTTCGTGAACATCTGGTTTCATCGCTGATTTGCAGTGATCGATTCACGTAACTATTATCAATAGCACGCCTTTTGTTCCTTTAGACGAATGTGTTTAAGAAGATAATCCGGACTGAGTAGTTTTGTCATTGCTGTCTGGATTTCAGCTACCGTTTTCATCAAGACGGTAAGTAACACGTTTTACTGTTTCGGGCTTGGATCTTTATTGGCCCTTTGGACGATAAGATCTCTCTCTTTCTTTCTTACACACTCACACGATAACAGCCAGACAGTCACGCACACAGATTATGTTTTTGTCAGATGTCCTTCTAGATTTAATTTCTAGAAAACTCCGAATAATTTACACGTTTAGTCATCAAAGATCGATTTTCAGATTGAATTATTTTCGTGTTTCGAGATGATGAATATGAAATTTCGTTCACCTTCATATGCAGCATTTAATTGATTATCCCCTTGGTGGTCGTACGCGTCCGCCAAAGCTAACGTTATCGGTCAGGGTTTGAATTTGGATGGCATACAATGAAATGGCTATATGTGTTGACGTTTCTGTACAACAGCTGGATTCCCACAAGGGTAGAGATTTCTTGTGCAGTCAAGTCAAGACTGTCCAGTGGCGTTATGAACAGTGATAACTGAGATCCGATCATCATGCTATCAAGTATCACTGATCTAGATGTCGCCTCTAGTGACAAGCATAGATATATAGGCTGATATATTCTAACGTAGGTCCACGTACGTGCTGTACCAAACATCAACCCAACATACTTCACACCAAGACAGCAGCCATCTCTCCAACATGGTACTGAAGGACATGCAAACACAGTGCATTAGTACAGGCTTACAATGAGGGCAGTGTCTGTGTGAAAGTGCCATCAAGGCTGATAAGTAGATACATCGTGTCGATTAACACTGCATTTGAACAAACAATGACTGATAAGGCCTTTCTTAGTCGAGATGATACGTACTATGGAGTAATCCAGAGTAATCATATAACGGTTGGTTTTTGCTGTCTAGTTTAAAGGTGTAAGGTTCGGTGGTAGTCCGCTCAGTGCCAAATCTTCAATTGAGAATGAGAATGCATGACGTCAGACCCAACACTCTCAGCACTGATACACTCTCAGCAGCACCTATGAACTGGGCACACGATATACATCGGACTCCACAAGCTAGACAAAACCCCAGTTCTTATAAATAAATAGTTGACCCAATGGTATCATACAATGTTTAATTTGGTTACATACATAATTCAGCGGATCAATGAAAACACACCTCCCACTGGCCTGTCTGAAAAACAGGAAACAATAGTCTTTTAGTAGCGAGGTATATTATTTTGGTTTATGTAAACGTCAGCTGTCAATAAATAGCTTTGATAGCCATGATGTAACCACCATCCAATTTGTGTCCCGTTTCAGTTGATGCTTGTATCAAGATGGAAATGACGAGAATATCGCTGCTGGCATTGTGTAAGTAGTAAAACTGACTTAAAACATTATTAGTTGTATTAAAATATTACATCACATGACTTATTATACAGGTCAGTCAATCTTGTAAGGATGCTACCCCATGCTTATGGAATGATTAGATGGGTCTACTCCCATTTGTGAGAACTCCCAGTTGTGAGACTCCCAGTTGTGAGACAGCGGAGTAGGCACTTAGCAAAGAAAACACACCTTACTCCCCTCTCTGATAGAATGGATTAACCCCAGCTAATTATGGATTAGCTATTTAACTGAATCTTGTGGAGGTAACTTAATGAAACTCTAAAAGATAAAGTAATTAACCTACTCAGATAAATGGCTTTAAAAAATAAACATTTTGTGTAGGTAATTTGAAAGAGAAATTAATTTACCTACTCAGATTTACGTGTTTGAAATATCTAGCAATAACTGTTGCAACTATAATTAATCCAAATGTATTTATTAACCTTTGACTGCTCTTTCCGATCACCATTATGGCAGGCTTTCAACAAGTAGAATATATCACCAGTTCACGATAATCTTTTTCAGTATTTCAGTATCTATTGAAAACAATAAATGCTCTTCAACGAACAATGTCTTCTGTGTTAATTAACTCATTAATGAACTATGCCTCCTGCGGGTACTCTTCAGCAACAGGGCTGTTCCCACTTTCATCGTAGGGATGGGGAAGCACCACATGTGTGCACTGAACCATTAATTAATGTGTCTCACAAATGGGAGTTATCACAAATGGGAGGACACCATTAGATGGGATGACTGGATATAGCGTGCATATTGACTGTAGCATGTATTTACTCCGAGTCGCCCTGGGTATAGCGTGCATATTGACTGTAGTATGTATTTACTCCGAGTCGCCCTGGATATAGCGTGCATATTGACTGTAGCATGTATTTACTCCGAGTCGCCCTGGATATAGCGTGCATATTGACTGTAGTATGTATTTACTCGAGTCGCCCTGGATATAGCGTGCATATTGACTGTAGTATGTATTTACTCCGAGTCGCCCTGGATATAGCGTGCATATTGACTGTAGTATGTATTTACTCCGAGTCGCCCTGGATATAGCGTGCATATTGACTGTAGTATGTATTTACTCCGAGTCGCCCTGGATATAGCGTGCATATTGACTGTAGTATGTATTTACTCCGAGTCGCCCTGGATATAGCGTGCATATTGACTGTAGTATGTATTTACTCCGAGTCGCCCTGGGTATAGCGTGCATATTGACTGTAGTATGTATTTACTCCGAGTCGCCCTGGGTATAGCGATGCATATTGACTGTAGCATGTATTTACTCCGAGTCGCCCTGGATATAGCGTGCATATTGACTGTAGTATGTATTTACTCCGAGTCGCCCTGGGTATAGTGCATATTGACTGTAGCATGTATTTACTCGAGTCGCCCTGGATATAGCGTGCATATTGACTGTAGTATGTATTTACTCCGAGTCGCCCTGGGTATAGCGTGCATATTGACTGTAGCATGTATTTACTCCGAGTCGCCCTGGGTATAGCGTGCATATTGACTGTAGTATGTATTTACTCCGAGTCGCCCTGGGTATAGCGTGCATATTGACTGTAGTATGTATTTACTCCGAGTCGCCCTGGGTATAGCGTGCATATTGACTGTAGCATGTATTTACTCCGAGTCGCCCTGGATATAGCGTGCATATTGACTGTAGTATGTATTTACTCCGAGTCGCCCTGGATATAGCGTGCATATTGACTGTAGCATGTATTTACTCCGAGTCGCCCTGGATATAGCGTGCATATTGACTGTAGTATGTATTTACTCCGAGTCGCCCTGGGTATAGCGTGCATATTGACTGTAGTATGTATTTACTCCGAGTCGCCCTGGGTATAGCGTGCATATTGACTGTAGCATGTATTTACTCCGAGTCGCCCTGGATATAGCGTGCATATTGACTGTAGCATGTATTTACTCCGAGTCGCCCTGGATATAGCGTGCATATTGACTGTAGTATGTATTTACTCGAGTCGCCCTGGGTTATAGCGTGCATATTGACTGTAGCATGTATTTACTCCGAGTCGCCCTGGATATAGCGCGTGCATATTGACTGTAGTATGTATTTACTCCGAGTCGCCCTGGATATAGCGTGCATATTGACTGTAGTATGTATTTACTCCGAGTCGCCCTGGATATAGCGTGCATATTGACTGTAGCATGTATTTACTCCGAGTCGCCCCTGGATATAGCGTGCATATTGACTGTAGTATGTATTTACTCGAGTCGCCCTGGGTATAGCGTGCATATTGACTGTAGCATGTATTTACTCCGAGTCGCCCTGGATATAGCGTGCATATTGACTGTAGTATGTATTTACTCCGAGTCGCCCTGGATATAGCGTGCATATTGACTGTAGTATGTATTTACTCGAGTCGCCCTGGATATAGCGTGCATATTGACTGTAGCATGTATTTACCGCAGTCGCCCTGGATATAGCGTGCATATTGACTGTAGTATGTATTTACTCCGAGTCGCCCTGGATATAGCGTGCATATTGACTGTAGTATGTATTTACTCCGAGTCGCCTGGGTATAGCGTGCATATTGACTGTAGTATGTATTTACTCCGAGTCGCCCTGGGTATAGCGTGCATATTGACTGTAGTATGTATTTACTCCGAGTCGCCCTGGGTATACCGTGCATATTGACTGTAGTATGTATTTACTCCGAGTCGCCCTGGATATAGCGTGCATATTGACTGTAGTATGTATTTACTCGAAGGTAAGCCCTGGATATAGCGTGCATATTGACTGTAGTATGTATTTACTCCGAGTCGCCCTGGATATAGCGTGCATATTGACTGTAGTATGTATTTACTCCGAGTCGCCCTGGATATAGCGTGCATATTGACTGTAGTATGTATTTACTCCGAGTCGCCCTGGGTATAGCGTGCATATTGACTGTAGTATGTATTTACTCCGAGTCGCCCTGGGTATAGCGTGCATATTGACTGTAGTATGTATTTACTCCGAGTCGCCCTGGGTATACCGTGCATATTGACTGTAGTATGTATTTACTCCGAGTCGCCCTGGATATAGCGTGCATATTGACTGTAGTATGTATTTACTCCGAGTCGCCCTGGATATAGCGTGCATATTGACTGTAGCATGTATTTACTCCGAGTCGCCTGGATATAGCGTGCATATTGACTGTAGTATGTATTTACTCGAGTCGCCCTGGGTATAGCGTGCATATTGACTGTAGTATGTATTTACTCCGAGTCGCCCTGGGTATAGCGTGCATATTGACTGTAGTATGTATTTACTCCGAGTCGCCCTGGGTATAGCGTGCATATTGACTGTAGTATGTATTTACTCCGAGTCGCCCTGGGTATAGCGTGCATATTGACTGTAGTATGTATTTACTCCGAGTCGCCCTGGGTATAGCGTGCATATTGACTGTAGTATGTATTTACTCCGAGTCGCCCTGGGTATTGCGTGCATATTGACTGTAGTATGTATTTACTCCGAGTCGCCATGAAAAGCATCGGGTATATTGATTCTATGCAAACATGTTTATGTTTTGTTACGATCTTGAAAATACGGCTTTGAATTTGAAGACTATATTATACAGATGGTTTGAACGCGAAGGCAAAGTATATATTTGGATTTAAGAAAATGTTATATTTGTGCAAGTGCAGAAAATATCTTGCTTCAATAATTAGTTTGATCCATACAGTATGTATACAGTGCAACTGCGTGACGCCTCTTCGTTGTTCATGAAAACACTTCTCTGATAACAGGCTACCGGAATTATTAGCAAAGTGATTTCCTTCATGTAGAATATATTTCTTTTCAAAGTGAAGACGCAAAAATATAACATGTTTCAGTATTCTTCACGCATCAGTCATCAGCTGAGACCCACTGTTTCTGGTCATCAGACGACGGTCGTTGTACTGACTGTCAGAGAGGCTGGTATGGGGACTACTGCAACTACAAATGTTCCGGCTACTGCGACATCGGCGGCTGTCACAGGGACACCGGGATATGTAAACAGTGTGACGCTGGCTATCGTGGCATCAACTGTACAGTAACATGTCCCCCCAACTGTAGATACAGTCACGATGACAAGCCCCACTGTAGCCGGGAGGCAGGGCACTGTCTGGAAAACTGTCAAGACGGCTGGTGGGGAAAGAAGTGTGAAAACAGATGCAGTGATGGATGTGAAGACAACTCCTGCTACTTCTGGGACGGGTCGTGTGCTAGAGGATGCAGGGATGGTTGGGCCGGTGACAGTTGTGACACCAGGTGTCCAGGGGGGTGTCATGGTGACACATGTGAGAGGTACGGCAGCCATACGTGCACACAAGGGTGTAAACACGGTGTTCACGGACTTCACTGTGACAAGCAGTGTAACAGACACTGTAGACATCAGGACTGTTTCTATGACCACGGTATGAAGTCTACAGTCTGCAGACAGGGCTGTGTGGATGGCTGGATGTCTCTCGACTGCAAGATGAGGTGTCCTGGTAACTGTGAGGCATGTTCTCAAGAGACTGGGGCATGTTCCAGATGCAAGCAAGGTTACTGGGGATCTGACTGCACTAGTCCATGTAGTGACACGTGTTTTAACAAGACATGTGACAGAGGTGATGGAAGATGCCCTGGTTGTATACCGGGTTACTATGGAAACACCTGTGACACGGGTTGTGGGGCTGACTGTATGAGATGTCTCCTGGTGGACGACGGCTGTGGATGTAGGGAGGAATGCCACACGACGTGTCTGCAGCATCATCAACAGGGAGGAGCATGTGATGCTGTACACCGAGAAGGGGAATGTAAGCAAACAAAATTTAATACTCGAGATACAGACACGTGTTGTTAAAAAATGATGCCACAAAGGCATGTGCTACTATAAAATGCATTTTTGATACATGGCACAAAATGTAAATATGAACATCACGGGGTTTTTTTCGTCGCAATTTGTAAAATATTCAAGCAGGTTTTATTTCAGATCACTGTCCTCCCACGTCTACCTGACATGCGTCATATGACTGTCTGCAACTGAATACATTTTCAAAGTAGTCTATAACACACTCACGCCTGATTGGCAATTTGTATTAGTACTTCTTGATATTTCATTTCTCTTGCAGACAATACGAACGGATCGCAGAGATGTGAAGCTGAAGACATACTGTTTACATTATCTGTAGGTCTGCTGGTTCGACATCGACTTCTTCAAGGCTTGATATAACCAACACGTGACACGTTCTGGTGACACCGGGCGGTTTGCTGATGCTCGTCACCATAGCTCATGGCAGCAATGATCCTTCGGTTACAAGCTTGTTGTTCTACAACTTCATCTTCACGAGCAGGTTTCATGGCATAATCTGCTTTATCATACTATTAGCTACGGGATAAATCGCAAAGGACAATGATGAGCTAGTCGTGGTTTATTTTACGATAAGGCATTGTCTTATTATGACGTTATAGAAAAGTAAAGATTCCCTCGCAACTCGATGACGTTGAAAAATCGTGGACGCTATTTTGGAGACGTTAATGAGTGGTTTGGCTTAGATGTAACCTGGCAAGTTGGCTAACGCAGATGAACGCTTTTTGAATTATTTACGCCATTTCAAAATTGTATGTCTTGCAGAAACATTTGTTGACAATATTTCCGATGTTGATTGGTTGCATGACTATGATATCTTTTATAGCCCAGCAATCAAACTGTCCGAGTATGGTCGACTCTCTGGTGGTGTCTGCGTAGGTGTTCATCGATCTGTCAGCAAATCGTGTAAGTTGTTGAAATCCGATTTTGACAATTTTGTATGTATAAAATTCAGTAAGTCGATATTTGCAACGGATAAAGATATTAACTTGATATGTACATATATCCCACCAGTGGGTTCATCCTACTATAAGACTCACACAAAATGTAGTCTTGATAATGTTGATCAGTTTTTACTTTCTAATTTGTCTGAGTTTAGAGATTCCCATATTGTACTTCTTTGTGGCGACATGAACGCGCGAACAGGAGAGTAACAACCCCCAAGTGACATGCGCTGTGTCGATGATAGAAACGTCACCAACATATTTGATGACGAGGGAGGATATCCTGTTGGGGATCGTAAATCACATGATAAGGTCATAAATAGATTCGGACAAATTTTGATAGACATGTGTTATGCATTTCATTTATTTATTGTCAATGGTAGAGTGTTTGGAGATGAACAAGGTGAATATACTTTTGTCGGACAGCATGGCTGTAGTGTTAATGATTATTTCATCTGTTCTAATGATCTCTTTGAATATATAAGTATGTTGAATATAGGTGATCGATTAGATTCCGATCATCTGCCTTTAGAGCTCAAATGCCGATTTCCTAAACTGAACATGATTAAAGGTAAATCAACAGCGGATATCTCCTCTAATGACAAAATTGTGTGGAATGAGTCTTTATGTAAGCCATTTTTAGGAAATCTTCAAGAGAGAACCGCAGCTGGTTTTCAGTCGGTGTTTAATAAACTTGATAGTCATATAGAAGATGCTATTGATGATTTTGTAAGTATGATGTTAGATTCTGCAAGCTGTATGAAGAAACATGTATCGATCGCACCGCCGCGAAACAATCCACCCTTAAATGCTGAGTGTAAGGCTGCACGACGGGTTGCACGAAAATCTCTGAAGACATTTAGACGAAACGTAACGATATCAATAGAAAACTATATTGTAAAGAACGAAATATATACAGAAACTGCTGTAGAAGATTTAAATCGGACCTGAGTAAACGAAATGTCGATAAATTAACAAAGGCAACAAAAAGCCCGACCTCATTTTGGAAACAAATCAGATATTTAAAAAGACGACCAACACGAAAAAATGTAATTCCGAAAGCGGAATGGTTAAATCATTTTAAAAATGTATTTCATAATGATTTTGTTTTTAATGATTCTTTTGATGATTGTCCTTTGCAGGATGATGCAACACCAGATATTTTAACTGCAGATATGTCAGACGTCGAATCACTTGTATTAGACTTACCCATAACAGATAATGAAATATCAGAAGCGTTATTGCATTTGAAAAATGGAAAATCAGCTGGTCTTGACCTCGTCGTGGTGGAAATGCTTAAAAGTTCAGAGTTTGTTATCATGCCCTTTTTGAATAAGTGTTTTAATAAATTGTTTGTAAACGGTATTTTTCCCGTTGTTGGGCGCGTTCAATTATTGTTCCTTTACATAAGAAAGGTGATGTCACCAATCCAGATAATTATAGAGAATTTCCCTTATGAGTATTTTAGGTAAAGTCTTTACATCTGTTCTAAATAACAGACTCACTAAATGGGCAAGTATGACAGATAAAATTCCCGAATCACAAGCAGGCTTTAGAAAGAAATATTCAACTTCTGATCATATCTTTACACTATTTGCACTAGCCCAGAAATGTCTATCCCGTCGTAAGCGTAAATGTTTATGTAGCTTTCGTTGATTTCCGTAAAGCATTTGATTCTGTCAATCGTTCTTAATTGTGGTATTCTTTAAGTAATGCTGGCCTGAAAGGTAGAATGTATTCAATTTTAAAAGCAATGTATACTAATGTGATAGCTTGTGTACGTTGTGGTGATGATAAGACTGATTTTTCTGACTGCCCTGTTGGCTTAAGACAAGGATGTGTTGTGAGTCCAATTCTATTTTCCTGTTTATCAACGAATTGTACTCACGATATTATCGCAAATGGTAAGCATGGCATCCAAATATTTCCAGATCTCTTAGAACTTTTTATTCTTTTATTTGCTGATGACGTAATTCTTTTATCAGAATCTGTAGTTGGACTACAAACCCAGTTAAATATTTTGGAACGGTATACTAAAACATGGGATTTATCCGTTAACCTAGATAAAACTAATATTGTTATATTTAGAAAAAGGTGGCCGGATATCTTCTAAAGAAAGATGGTCCTTTAATGACCAACCTGTAATTGTCTCTGATCATTACACTTATCTTACTTACTTGGTATTAAGTTTACATCTGCTATTAACTGGAAAACTGTTACTGAATTATCATTGAAAGCTAAGAAAGCATTGATAAGTCTTTTATCTGCCTTGTGTAAAATTGGTGTGTTGACGCCCAGTATTTACTTTAAACTATTTGATTGTCAAATTCAGCCTATTCTTTTGTATGGATCCGAGATTTGGGGATTCCAGAGATATGAATGCAACACGTCACAATTTAATTCTGGACTCACAAAAGTCCAGAAACTCTCCGCACTGTGGGCACTTTCTGACAAGGGATTTGACCAAATTAAACATGCAGTTGTTATGAATATATGCCAAGGATGAAAAAATGAAAAGATTTTTTCGAAAACTTTAAATTTAGTCTCGCTTCGCCCATGGGCAGGCCCATGGCGAACAGTGGCCCATGGGCCGGCCCATGGGCGAGAATGTTTAATTTCGACCAGAATTCATGTTTTGGAGGTTGTAAATGAATGAGTGTATGTTTATAAGTATCATGAAACAAAATTCAACTCACATTGACTTAATTCGATTAATTTAGAGCGATATTAAAAAAATCTCGCCCATGGGCGAAAAACATTTTGGCCCATGGGCGAGAATATTTACTTTTACTCAAAATATATGTTTTTCCATGTTTTGGAGGTTGTAAATGAATGAGTGTATGTTTATAAGTATCATGAAACAAAATTCAACTCACATTGACTTAATTCGACTAACTTAGAGCGATATTAAAAAATCTCGCCCATGGGCGAAAAACAATTTGGCCCATGGGCGAGAATATTTACTTTTACTCAAAATATATGTTTTTCCATGTTTTGGAGGTTGTAAATGAATGAGTGTATGTGTATAAGTATCATGAAACAAAATTCAACTCACATTGACTTAATTCGACTAACTTAGAGCGATATTAAAAAATCTCGCCCATGGGCGAAAAATAGGTTGGCCCATGGGCGAGAATATTTACTTTTACTCACAATACATGATTTTCCATGTTTGGGAGGTTGTAAATGAATGAGTGTATGTTTATAAGTATCATGAAACAAAATTCAACTCACATTGACTTAATTCGACTAATTTAGAGCGATATTAAACAATCTCGCCCATGGGCGAAAGATAGGTTGGCCCATGGGCGAGAATATTTACTTTTACTCAAAATACATGATTGTCCATGTTTTGGAGGTTGTAAATGAATGAGTGTATGTTTATAAGTACCATGAAACAAAATTCAACTCACATTGACTTAATTTGACTAACTTAGAGCGATATTAAAAAATCTCGCCCATTTTCTGATGTCATGTATTTTACTTGAATGATTACATTAATTTTATAAGTTAGGTTCAAATGTGGTAGTGCTGTTGATGATAATATTGTTATGACTTGTTAAAAAAAATACATCATCAATACTGACCCACATTTAAATGATACGATCTCTTCCCCACACTCTCGGCCACAATTTTCCGCCCGGCTTGGCTCGAGCAGTCAAAGCAACTTAAACGTAACGCACATATCTTGAATTGTGTTTAAATACATAGACTAGTATTATATCTACCTGAATATCGCTTTGTAATGTTATCAAATGCAACATGTAAAGATAACTGCTCCGTCAAAGTGAAGACCTTTTCTCTCTCCATTCACAACATAGCCTCAATCAAAAGTGTTTAGTCGCTGTTCAGCCCGGTTTCCCCCATGCTGTCAAAAACAACTTAAACCTCACACATGTATCTTCAACTGTGTTTAAATCCATAGATTAGTGTTATATCTACCTACATAGCACTTCACAGAGTCTCAAAGCGTTGTATTTGAAGCAAAAACGTTGCTCAAAGTGAAGCCCTAATTTCTATACATTGTCAACAACGACACAGTATCACAAGCTTAAGGTCCGGCTTGGCCCGGGCTCTCAAACGCACCTTATACCTCACAGATGTATCCTGAAATGTGTTTAAATCCATAGATTGGTATTATATCTACCTAAATATCACTTTCTAATGTTATCAAATGCCACATGTAAAGAAAACTGCTCCGTCAAAGTGAAGACCTTTTCTCTCTCCATTCATAACATAGCCTCAATCAAAAGTGTTTAGTCGCTGTTCAGCCCGACTTGGCCCGTGCTGTCAAAAACACCTGAATCCTCACACATGTATCTTGAAATGTGTTTATATCCATAGATTAGTGTTATACCTGCCTACATATCACTTCACAGAGTCTCAAAGCGTAGTATTCGAAGCAAAAACGTTGCTCAAAGTGAAGCCCTATTTTCTATACATTTTTAACAAAGACACAGTATAACAAGCTTTCGGTCCGGCTTGGCCCGGGCTCTCAAACGCACCTTATATCTCACAGATGTATCTTGAAATGTGTTTATATCCATAGATTGGTATTATATCTACCTAAATACCACTTTGTAATGTTATCAAATGCAACATGT